CACCAACAACTAGTATATAAAAATATGACAATATTTTGTTTGGGTAGTGAATGGGAATAGATGGGGAATAAATAACAAAAATACAAAATTACCCTTACTAATCTTTCTCCTCCATTCTTTTCATTAATGCCAAAAATGTCATTTTCTACTTATTCCCATTTCCATTCATTTATTACCTATCCTCCTTAGGTAATAAATTAATAGGAATTCACCCCATTTATTCTCAATCCCATTCCCTTCTTTATTTCCAATCCCATTTTACAAACAAGATATTTTTTTTTTTATTTGGGATTAAAAGTCCCATTTCCAGTTTTCCACCCTCAATTCCCATTTACCAAACACCCCCTTATTGGTATGATCAGAAAGTGGGATAAGAGTTCTCGCCTTCTCAGATTCTCTCCTCCTTTGCCCAACTCCAAACTAACGATAGTGATAAAAAAAAAAAAAAAAAAAAACTATGATTGGTTGTAGACTGTAACTTCTGGTTACCTAAGGACGTAACAAGTCTAACGACTGACTGGCCCAGTACCAGAGAATGACAAAATACCCACGCTTCTTTAGTGTGGAATGACGATTATAGGCCCGGATAGACATACTAGATTAAGATAGCATATTAGCATTATTATTATCATCACAAGTCTTTTACCCGAGCAACGCTCGAATATTTACTGTTTTTTTTTTTTATAAATTATTCTAAATTTTATATTTGTTTATAGATTTTGTATACACATATTACGTAATTATTTCAGGGGATTGTTAAACGGCGCCCTTATTTTACCTGGTAACGCCCGCATTTAAATATAAATGCACAAATATACTCTCGTGTGTACTCCATATTTTTCTTCTCTGGCCTCTAACTCAATCGTGCATTCTCTCCTCCCAACAAACCACCACCAATCGAGGGCAAGGTCATCGGACACATCGCCGGAATTAAAGTCGTTTTTTTTTTTTTTTTTTTTTTGTGGAAGCCAAACGCCTAAAATTTTCAAAACTCTAGGGGAGAAACGCCTAGAATTTTCAAAAGTCCTTAGGAGATTCGAAAATTCTAGGCGTTGCCACCCATAGAATTTTTCATTTTTTTTGCGTTTTTTGTTTTTATCATAACTTTTGATCCATAACTCAAATTAAGACAAATAATATATCGTTGGAAAGCTCTACAAGTCTATTTTCTAACCCAATTAGAATCATATCAATATCATTTTTAGATCTTAAGATATGGCTACAATACTAAGTTTGGTCCAAAACCAACACCCTTGCACTATTTCAATCATATCTTAAAATCTAGAAATGATATTAACTTGATTCGAATTGGGTTGAAAAGTAGACTTCTAGAGTTTTTCAACTATATATTATTTGTTTTAATCCAAGTTTGGGATCAAAAGTTATGATAAAAACAAAAAACGAAAAAAAATTGGAAAATTCTACGGGATAAAACGCCTAGAACTTTCGAATCTCCTAGGGACATTTGAAAATTCTAGGCGTTTCTCCCCTAGAGTTTTGAAAAAATTAGGCGTTTGGCCTTCACAAAAAAAAAAACGAATTTAATTCCGGCGATGTGTCCAATGGCCTTGCCCTCGGTCAATGGTGGTTTGTTGGGAGAAGAGAATGTTAGATTGGGTTATAACATTGAATACACGCGAGGGTATGTTTGTCCATTCATATTTAAATGTGGGCGTTATCTAGTAAAATAAGATCATCGTTTAGCTTGTCACAGAGTGCATAATAATTAAAAATAGTTTTTTTTAATAATATAAGAGATATCGTGGGAAAATTTTCTTTATTTTACAACTAATACAAGAATAACTTTTAAATATTTAAGGGAAAAGAAGGCAACATCGGGCAATGGATTCAAGAGGCATAAAGCACTTTATCATGTAATATTGCTATATCATTAATCGAGAGGGGCGATTAATATACCTTTAAAATGAGCAAACGCAATCAATTCTCATTGGCTTCTTTTAATTCTCAATAAAAAGAGGCATTTGGAGTCTTAGTATTAGAAAGGACAGGATCAAGTGGGTGTACTAATTAGTCCATGAAAAGAGGTATTATGGCAACACCCACTTTCAATAGGATGTGTATCCCCACATACACATCTAATGGGTAAAAGACATGTCATCAATGTACAAAAATGAAGGGAGAAGGTTGAGTGAGAAATGTGAGCAGTAATTTTCTTAGTGATTCCCGCGTTTGAAGAGATAAGCTGTAAAAAACTTGGTTGTAAATAACCCAATTCGTCGTCGACCACCACATGACCACCTCCCCCACCCCAAACCCTTTCCTTTTCCCCCTCCCTTAACGTCGATGGCCGACCACCTCTTTCCTCCATACACGCCAGCCAAGACCTACCCAAACCCACCTGAACCACCCACGTTAAATCTAGATCCCTAAACCAACACCTAGAAACCCACATGAACCACCCACCTCGATACCCCATATGTCCGACCTCGAAACGGACAAACCCTTCCTAATTTAAGATTTAGATGATGATGTCCATATAACTTAATTACAATATTTTAAATTTGATACCACACTTAATAATTTGACACCAATTTAATTCTTGAAACTTCACTTATAAATTTATTTTTGATACTAAAATAATACAAATAAAACCCATTTTAACCACCTACCTCCAAAACCCAGATCTCGAAACACACCTGCTATCCGTCATCTCTTTCCTACACCTTTCCATAGCTAGTTTGGCTTTCATTTCACCCTCTATAGTTGCTTATCATTCTCCGAAGCACCTCATTCTTTGATTACACCCACCGTCGTCACTTACCTTCCTCTAAACCACCTTACTTTCCTTAAAAGACATCATCGTCGCTCCGCCATGTTGTATTCCCGTTAATCCTTTGACCTCTCATTTACAGTTATATTTTCATTGAAATTCAAATTTCAAATTTTCATTTGCGAAATATTTCAAAGTGAAATTTTGAAATTTTAAAATGGGCCTAAAGTGGAGCCAAATATTAGCCAATAGAAATTGTAGATTTATTTGTTCATGTGGGGGTACACATTGACTATGTCTATGTTTACCCTTTCCGACTTTCAATGGCAAGAAAAAATTGCCTCTCAAAACACTTTGATTGATTTTTTTTTTTTTCCTTTTTTCCCTATTTAGTCGGGAGATTCAAGATCATGTTCCAACTAGCTTAGCCTTACTATAGTACTTCAATTATATATAGAATGTTTAATATGAATCACGAGATGCTCCAATCAAGTTGTTTAGGATGTTTCGATTGTTACACATCTAAAAAGTTGGAAATTCGAATCTTATCTAACCTGGCTTTTGAAGATGAGAACAAGGGGACGAAGAAGGTATATATCCATTCATCTATGATGTTCATCGCTTTTCCTTGAAGCTTTTAGTATATGTTTGATTCATTATAGTAGTAATGAGACGATTATGGAATGCCAACCATAAATTAAACATTGACAAATACCTTTCTTATATTTGTCAAAGCTCAATATATGTTTGATTCATTACAATATATTTTTTGGATTTATTAGTGAGAAATGCTAAAAGTAAAAAAGAGCGTAGATCATTAGTAGGTAAAAATATATTATTAAATTGTAAAGGTTTTCAAAAGAGAAGTATAAGTTTAAAAAAAATGGATAAAAATAGCAAGTGTAGCTTTGAAAAAAAAAACGGAGGGAGTACAAATGTTTGGTAACACGACAGAGAGTATTACTCCCTCCGTGTTTTAATATATGAAACATTTTGACTTTCACGGAATGTTAGGAAAATTAGTTGAATTTATTAAAGGAAAAATTGTAAAAAAATAATACAAACTTTGACCGATCCGCTAAAAACAAGTTAAACTTTTAATTATTTCATAATAATACAACCTTTATGCGATATCTTCTCAAAATAAGTCATGACCTGTTATTAACCGATTTAGCAAGTTAAAAGTGACATGTATCACTATTTAATTGGTTTGTGATTTTTTAATTAATTTTTCTAAAACTCAAACTAAACTCATCTCTCTCCTCCCTCTGCCATTCTCTTTCTTCCCTTTCTCCAACGTGCCACCATGAAGCTACCCCCGTTGTCGCCGTGTAGCTACTACCATCAACCCTCGAACACCACCTTTTACCTTCATTACCCGCACCTCCCTGTCCATCTCTGCCACCATGTGGCTACCTCCCACTTTCGAAAATCACCTCCAAATACCACCCCACCATCCATAGAAAATTAACCCAACAATGACCACCCTTCTCTCTCCTACATTTGAACCCACATCCCTACTGCAACGGTTGAGCCGAAATCGGCTGTAATTGGGGCTGCTTAGTGTTCGTTTGTGCGGCGGTTGAGGGCTGCTGCTAATTGTTATGGCGGTCCGGTGGTGGCTCAATTGCGGGCTGTGAAATAGGGGTGCGAGAATTGGGTGCTGTTACTGCGGTAGGTGCAATTGAGGGGCAGAGGAGGTGGGCAGTCCGGGCTGGTCGCAGTTGTGAGGGAGTGTGCGAGATGGCCTGGTGGGAGTTGCGGTTGCTATTGGTGATGCGGGCTGGAGGTGCGGCTGCTCTGCTTGCGTCAATTGCTGTAGTTGTTGGCGAGAGAGGAGGTGCAGCAGCAGCGAGTTGGGAAATTAAAAGAGGTGAGAGCTAGGGGTGGTTATCGTTTGTGAGCTAGGGAAGTGCTGGTTAGGCTTGTAGGGTGTTGCCGGAAAACGAAGATATGGCTGGTAGCTTGAGGGTGGATGAGGTTTTAGGTTTTTTTTTCTTTTTCTTTTTCTTTTTAAAATAGTTTTACTTGGTTAACAGGTTGATTCAACCTATTAAAAGCAAATACTCCATAAAGGTTGTATTATTCTGAAATAATTAAAAGTTTACGAATCGCTTAAAGTTCGTATTATTGTTGACAATTTTTCTTTATTAAAATACAAAATAATATGTAGTGGGATATAAGTTTGAGTAGAGAAAAGAAAGAAATGGATTTTGTGGGGACTATTAATTAGTAAAAAGTAAAAAGAATATTTTTAAGCAATAGAAAGAAATTACTATAAAATAAAACGTTTCATTTATTTAAACACGACCGCAAAAGAAAAATGTTTCACTTATTTAAACACGGGGAGAGTGTTACTGATTTTAAATTAAGTAGTTAACAAAATTCATCACCTAAGCTACTAGCAAACTACACAAGCTAGTTAACCCGAGCAAATTGAAATAGCTGCGGCTCTTTATCATCGTATCTAAGTAAAATCACCATGCTGGTCTTGCGGCTGTTGTGGTGTGGTGGTGTGGGCAGGGTTTCAATACTTTCCTTCTGTGCAGATACATAGTACCAAGCATACAAAATCAGTTGTGCTACGGCAAGTATAGCTCCAGCGGCATTGCAAATCTTCACAAAAAGAATGACAGATTGGATTAGGATACTATTACAAGCATTAAAGTGGCCCAACTAGAGTTAGCAATCTCTGACACAACACGACAACATGACCGATATCGGCACGACATGAAAACGAAGTTATTAACAGAAAACACGAAGTCGACACGACCCAAAACCAACCCGACTACAACCCGTTTAGATGAAATGATCAAATCATGCAATTATCCTACATTTTATATAGTTTTTGATAGATTTTGTGAACAACGTGAAATTAACACGAGACCAAATACGAACACGACAAGACTAGACTTTTTGCTAGCTCTACGCCTAATGGATCAGAGCTTTCGATAGAGCAATAATAACAATGAACAAAAAATGCTTTTCTCATTCTCTCTCTACCCACTTTCTCACTCCTCTTGCTCGTTAGCATTTTGATGATCATATTTTATTCTACCTACATTTCTCAATATTACATTTTTTTTTCTTTTTTTTCTTTAATTTGCCTTGTAAGCCCCACATTGTTACTATTCATCTTGAAAATGCTCATCCTATGAGCGTTTTTCATTTAGCTCATTAACAATTTTGTTTTGCTCATTGTTGTAAGTCATTTTTTTTCACACATATTTTTGATCATGAGCATTTTTTTCTCATTGTACGCAATGCTCTAAAGGCAAAAAGAATGGAAATTGTGCAAATGTAATTAGCTGTAAATCCTGTAATTGATTACCAGAATGTAGTGATCAAATTTTTTGATGCAGGCATATGCACTCCAAATGACTCCGTTAAACAAACCAGCAATCGAAAGAGACAATGGCATGTATTCAACACTCTTCGTAGTTATGACCTTGAGCTGTTGGCAAACATACAACTACATGAGAATATATTTTTGTACTCAAACTCGTATAGATAAATATGTAATAAAAACACTGTTACATAACATAAGGAAATACCAAGTACGAAAGTAAGAGGTGTAAGACTTAGTACCATTACAGTGAGAGGTGCACCATAAAAAAGGATCCCAAAGATGACATAAAAGATCCCAACAAAGTTAGACCTCGAAGTATGGGTGTGGAATGCTAAGAGTGTGATGCAGATTAAGACAGACAGAACCACAACCTCGACGTATAAGTACATCCACATGGATTTCTGTATTGCAACAACAGAAACTAGTTACCTTTATAAATTAAATGACAATTCAGTCAACAGCAAATAATTGAATATGAGTAAAAATTCAGGGGATTCCCTTCAGATCAATTCTTACCCTAATAAAGCTGTCACCATAGTACGAGTATACAACGTAGTAGAAAGTGTAGAGAGCAATTCCAACACAATTAACTGGGGTAAGAAGAATTGTGTGCGGGTTCGAGTGCACGAACGGCATTGAGTATAGCACCCACATTGAACAGCTGATTAATCCAGCCACAATAGGGTGAAACTTATATTCCTCATTATCTTTTCGCAAATAAATCCTCCAGATTGTAGGCCTGTTAGTTAATTACATACCTATATGTTAATCAATATCACACTATATATACGAAGTACAAAGTATTATATTACCGTGTGACAAATTGTATACAAAAATTATAAATCAGATTAATCATGACTTTTAAATATGTAATTAGCACGTACTAGCATTTAAATGGGTGAAATCATACACATCAAAGACATCTTAGAAAATACAAGCAAAACCAAATTAATCTATATAAAGACATTCATAAATATTCAATGTAGTTTTAAGCCAGTACAATTTAATTAAATAATTAACACAATTAAAGTACTAATTACATATGAAAGACAAGAGAGAAAGTATAATAAATAAATAAATAAATACATACGCAGGAGAGCAAAACATGAAAAAGGATGTAACATTGCCTGCAAAAGTAATCAATGAATCATTATTAGTTATCAATAGCACTAATTAATTGTGTGAAATAACAAAATTAGTTATTAGCACTAATTGCTCTGAGATAAGAAGAAAGCACACAAAAAGCGTGATTAAGCAACTTATAATTGCACTCTAGTACTCCATATTAATAGATGCATATTAAAACAACCTTCGCCAATTTTTTTGCTTCGCCGTTTTACTGATAGATACCTAAGCTCCACCATATTTATCTTAATTTAACTTTTTTACTTAATCATTACCAAAAAGTAACTAAAAATTAATATAATTGCACTTTTTTTTTAAATCAATATTTATTAGCAATGACTCAATTTTAGCATAGCTTAATCAAGTTTGTTGACCCTAAAAGTTTTGATGATGACTCAACTCATGAGTAATCTAACTTGTTTATAAGTTGGTACGGCTTAAGGTTTCATGAGAAAGCTAGGATTGATGATCCAGAATAAGAAGTAGCAGATTGCAAGTCAGAGGCAAGAATGAAGAATATATTAAAAAAAAATCAGAGCTCAGTAACTTTGGAGGAACTAGATGGTTCAAAGTCGAAGAAGATTCTATAAGCATACCAATAATTCCAAGAATGGTACGTTTTAGCTTAGCTTAGCTACAATTCTATGTTTAAAAAATAACTACTCGTAGGTTTTATTTTCTACTCGTAACTTCTTATGTTAGTTATGTACGTATTTAACATGTTGACATAAATGAGTCAAGTGGAATTAATCTTTATGTTTAATCAAATTTATTTTCCTTTATATGAGATTTATTTGTATTAGTTATCAATGAGATATATACTTGTACTCCGTATAATTTAAGATTATATATTGGAAAATTATCTTTTGTGAAATATCCTTTGTGAAAAGATTTTAACGACGAAAATTATACTGTATTTGAACGTGTGTTTTCTCTTGGTAAGTCAAAATCAGTTGAGAAAATCGTGGAATAGCAGTGTACACTTGCATTCCAAGTTCCTTTACTAACCTGCTCCTTAAGTTGAGGGATGTGTAGTTAGTGGAATTAAAAAAAAAAACGGTGAAGTGGATGTTAAGTACTAAGTTCCTTTCCAGTTGTAATTATTGAAGTTAGGATTTGACTGAACTCTAAAAGATAAAGCCTTTGAGTTAAGCTTCTAAGAGAGATTTGAGAACACAACTGGTTGTCTGTTGAGGGATAAGTTGTGGGGTGCTTAAGTTCGTTAGGAAACATGGACTTAGATTGTTTGCCCTATTATTATAATTGATAAAATTCGGGGTGGATGCCAGAAGTTTTCCATGCAAAAATCTCTGTGGCTTCTTTGAATTCATTGAGTTTTACTTTTAATTTTAATTCCGTAACAATTTTCTCTAGTTTCCCACACTGCAATTCACTCTCCACTTCTAGTGTTCATCAGACTTAACAAGGTTTAGGTTTAGGATAGAAATTAAGTCCATTATTACGAGTTTACGACATAATACAAATAATTATAAAACTACTGTAATTTCTTAAATTACAATAATAATAATAATAATAATAATAATAATAATAATAATAATAATAATAATAATAATAATAATAAGGAAGTAATTAATTCAAAATCAAATTAGTAAAAATCAAATTTCTTTTTGAGTTTCAACTTCTTGATTTAAAACAATATCGTATATTAAAAAAAAAAAAAAATTTAATAAGTCTCATAATTTATTCAATGTGAACTACGATTACCACTACTATAATATAATCATAAAAACTATTACTATTTCGATGATTCTCATGCATTAAAAGTAATTGAATGTAACTATTAGAAAGAATTCAAGAACAATAATGCTTATAAAAATATATAGAGAAGATTGATTGTTCATACCAATAATTCCAAGAATTGTAGGAAAATCAAGATTCATCACCATAGTTGCTTAGCTTCAAGAATCAAAGGAAAGTGAATTTTGAGAGAGAAATTAAAGAGCAGCTTCAGATCTGGAAGATTGTTCGACTGGAATTACGGGCCGTTTGGAATGAGATTAGAATGTGGGAATGGGATTGGGAATCTATAACCCATATAAATACTTCGTATTAAAACTTCCATCTATTTGCTCTCTACTGTGCTTTAGGAACAGTGTTTTTCGGTGCTATTACTCTACTGCCCCCAACAATAATGAATTGCCCAATCTGCCCCTGCTTGCATTGCATAGGTAGTTTTCCTTGGTCGGTTCCTGGTTTTCCTCCCTGCCTTTCGTTTTGCCGCCTCTTCCCGAACTCCCTCAAAACCAGTCATCTTTCTGGCTTTCTCTCTCCTTACTTCCATTTTCTCTCTCCTCCCTCCATTTTACATTTCCTGAGCATAGCTAACATCGCAAGAATGGAGCAGCAGCGATGAAATCCAAGGGCGGCGGCTCAACTATCACAAGAATGGGGAGATATATAGCTTCGAGCTTGAGGAACTTGAACAGAATGAACACCCTTCATCGTCAAAAAACTCCTGACCTTGTTCTCAAGGTTCGCAAACTCTAATCCTTAACTCTCTATGATTTATTGCTTTCTCGCTATGATTTAATTCGTCTTTGATCTTATGTTAGCATTTGTTTGGTTTGATTCGGGATTAAATGTGTCGAATTATCAAGCTAATTTTCTCTAAATCTCTACTATTGCATGTTTGAAATGGGGATTTTTTTTGTGGGCTGCTAATATTTCTTTGCATAATTTGTGTGTTAATTTTTCCCTTTTGTTCTGAGAATTGTATAAGGAGATTAGTTTTTTCTTAAAAAAATTTAATCACTTTTCTATTGGATCAGATTCGTAGCATTTCAATTATGTGAGTGATTTCTTGCTTGTATGAATTTTTGCAGATAGTTTATAATAAAAAAAAAATTCATGATTTTTTGATCTGTGTTTTGGAAGCTATGGGAGCTTTCAACGAATTGAGGAAGCTGGAATTGTTCTTTAAGGATGAGAGCAGGCATGGTCTTTCAGTTTTTGATCTTGGAAAGATATTGGCTTGTATGCACGATTAGTTTTCGATCGATCCTCTAATGCCTTCCGTTTTCAGTATTAAGTTAGTTCCTCGATCCTCCAATGCCTTCAGTTTTCAGTATCCTTTAATTCTTTGGCAGGTATCTTTCTTTGTTCATTTATGTTTAGTCCATTTCTCAGGTTTTTTTTGGGTATCTATTCTGATGAATTTGAATTATGGGATTTTGGTTTTGTTTATTTTATGGGTATTGTTGGATTTCTGTTTAGAGGGGAAAAAATGAATTTATTTGTGCAATTTGATCCAAAGTGGTCATTATGCTCATAGTTAAATCTGGTTGCCCTTTGATTTCTCAATTATCCATGTTTATTTTGATTTGAGTTTCTCTACTTTGATGCGAGTATTAGTGAGATTTGGGGAACCGATTACTCATACATTAACGATCGGTTACTAAAATTAGCTTTACCTTGAATTGAGAATTTTTGTACATGTTGATAACATGGCTGATACTCCGTAATTGTTATTTATGAACTTTAATAAGTGAATTTTTAGTGTTGTGAATGTTATTAAATCTGTTAAGGTAGCTCAAAAGATGGCATTTTTAGTGTTGTAAGATAATATGATTCATTTCTAGAAGTAATTTGGTAAAATCTGGAGTAAGAAATATGTTTGATTACATTGTAATTTATCGATTCTAATAATATAGGCATAGTGGATCGTTGAGTCCATTCTCGTGTATTGATATATTTTTCTTTAGAGAGCAAATAAGTAGCAGCTGAGTGGCATTTTTCTTATAAACTATTACATGAATGCATTTTTAGAATTACCTTCCTATAAAATTCTGGTATTTAATTTAGTTTCTTGATAATTATTATGGAGGAATAGGAAGCTGAATCAATCACTGCAGAATATAATTTTTCCAGTATTGATATTGAGATTTTTAGCTTTACTTTTTTGCTTTTGTTATAGAATGGGACTTCAGAAGAGGTGGTGAAGATAGTAGAAACTCTCAATGTAGGTGAAGGTCATGAAAAGGTAAGAAAAGGAATCTCACATACAAGAACGAGACTAAATTGCTTGAGCATTTTGTGTAGTTGTATAAATTGCCACCTCATGTATGAAGTTTGGCATGTTTTTAACACTTTGCAGCAACCAGCCTAGATTTATCAATTTGCCAAAACAACATGAAGAGAACTGATTACATTTTTGTAGGCGACGGAGAGGAGTATGTGGTTGTGGTTGTGGTTGTTTTCGACATGGCCTGTAAACTATCCCCGTGTCGGTGGGAAGAATCAAATCGAGGGGAAGAAGAGCAAGAGAAGAAGAGAAAGAAAAACGAAGACCAAAGGGCAAGTTTAAAGAGAAAAGAGTAAATTTCTGCAGTTTTAATAGGAATATTTGGATTTATTTTGGATATTTGAGAACATTCCTGCAGGTTAATAGAATTATTGATGTGCTGTGGATACGATATCTGTCTCCTTTCTCTTTCTTGTTCTAATTGGTTCAATTTTCATCTCTTCTATTAGATTTAACCTGTTATATGAATGTTGACTGTTTTTGTTTTGTTTATTTCTCCTCTTTTTTCCTTTTTTTTTTGCCGTTATTTTTTTTCTTATCCTCCAGTTTCTCTGTTTTTTCTCTAAAATAGGCGGAAGCCGGAGCAAGGTTTGGTGGATTTGAGTTTGAGGCAAAAGAACTCAGGTATCATTGGATGTTCGATCTGTTATTTTTTTTATTTTATTTTTATTTTTTATTTTATCTAATTTCTAGAAAAATTTTCTGTGCAATATCTGATGTTAGGATATTTGTCTGATTAATTTCTGTTATGTGTTGTGATTTGTGTGTTGTTGATATTATTTGGGAATTGATGGAATTTAAATTTGATTGATTGAGAAACAAGATCAGTTGAAGTTAGGTGCTTTTTTTTGTGAAATTTCAAGTGTTTTTAGTAAATTGATAAGTGAATTGTTTCGTTGTTCGTTTTTTTTTTTTTTTTATTTTTTATTTTTATTTACATCAGGGTTTTGAAACAATTACCTTGGGTTACATGACTTACATCACATAGCATACACACCATAGTTTTTGAAACAATTGCCTTGGGTTACTCTTTCTTAATAAAGCCATCATCCACCTCTTTTTATTCATGTGCAGGCTACACTCAGAGTTGCTTCACAAAAATATGGTGGCAATACTGGAGATGTTGTGGCACTTAGGATAGAGGCAGAGGTGTCCAATTTTACTTCTCTGGCTACCCTATCTTTCAGATGCTAGCTTGATTTTCTTTTCATGCTTGTTAATAGATAAAATGACACTTTATTTTGAATAGACTGCTAGGGATGAGGCAATTTCTGCACTTGATCAACTCCAGGAGTCCGAGTCTGAATTAAGATCCCTTCGGTCTATGGTTCATAGGTTAATGTTGACACGGAAAGAGATGGTTTGAGCTCTACTCTTCTTTCATGTCTTATTATAATTGTTTCCAATTGTATTTACACGGTTCATAACGTTGGAATAGGAAGAGTTGGTTCTTAAGAGGTGTTGGCTTGCTCGATATCGGAGTTTATGTGTACGATATGGTAATTGAATAATTTAGCAAGATCCTGCTGACATCTAATTATTGTTTTTAACTTTTTTTTTTTTTTATTTTTTTTTTTTGTTTTCTTATAATGCAAATAATGAAAGCTGATATATGGCTCTATACATTTCTAAGGTATCTATTCAGACATCGCAGAAGCTAAACTCAAATATTGATCATCCTTTGCCCCTCTACCTGTCGAGATTGTTATTGCTGCAGGACAGAAAGCAAAGGAAGACAGTCCCTCAGGTGCAGAAATATTGTTCTTTTTGTTTGATATTACTTCAATAGATCCTTATATATTGCTTTTGAGTATTACTGAAATAATTACTTTTGTTCTGTCTCTTATTTTGCAGAATTCCTCGACTTTCACCATTTTACGAATTCGTATCCATTTCTCTATTTATCAGCGCGGTTTCAGATATATTTGCTCTTATTTTATCATTATATGTATTGATTGGTTTTTTTTTTGTTGTTGTTGTTGTTACTTTTGTGATCATTCCTATAATTTATTGAAGAAATACTTATTTTAGATTGTAGGGGTTGGGAGTTTGATACCTGTTTTTGGAATTGTGTTGTTTGTGTAAGTCTTTGATAAATGAGTTTGTCTCCCTTCGAAATTAGAGTACTGATGTGAAGTATGTGGAAGGCACCTTGTGTTGTGCAGTCACTTAGTGCATTTTCATCGAATTACGACGTGTTCTTGTTGAGTTTGAGGGCCTATTTTGCATTGAAATTTCATCATAATAGGCTTATAGCGTGTTAACTGTTGTTACATATGATGTATATCCTACAACGGGTGTAATTTCACACACTCACACATTTGCCTCCCAATTTGGTCAGCTTCATGAGTAAATGGTGAGGGGAATTTGAAAGGGTGTAAAAGTGTAAAACTACACTCGGGTGTAGGATGGAAATTGTAGTTGTTACATGGATGGTAGTTGTGATGACAGAATGGGTTTTCCAACTCAAAAGTAATGGATTTACTTACAAGAAAAAAGAACTATTGATTTACTTGGTTTACGATAACTTAAGGTAGTGTCTAATTTTACTCCATTTGACTTTTGAAATTATTTATGCTGTTATTAGTGTTTGAATGCAGTAGAAATGATGATCTGATAATCAAAGTGTTAACAACCTGTATGCATAAAAGAAGATGATGATGCCACTAACGTCACCTGAGGAACGACAACTTTAGAGGACAATCTTTGGTGACGACAAAGGTAAAATCAAAGTATGGTCGATTATGCAAAACCACTGGTTCAGTCAGACCCTAAACCCCCCTTCCGTGCTTTGCTTTTCTGCAGAAACAATTACCCGACCACACAGACCACTGGTTTAATTAGATCCTTGTTAAATTCGTGACCTTTTTTTTCATATTGCCAATATTAATTTGCTTGATTATGCTGGTATTTTTGACATGATTGTGTAATTGTTGAATTTTGTTTTATATTTCCTGGTTTACTCAATCGTTTGCTTTCTTGCTCAAGATTGGTTAATGAATTAGACAACAGAAAAAGCAATACCTTGAACAGAAAAGCATATAGTAGACGAAGAGCTGTCTGAAAATGAAGCAATTATTTTGAAAATGGATATGCCTGCTATGTTTAGTTTAGTACAATCAGTTGTGTATTATCTGCTCATTTTGTGGAAGTTTTTTTCTGTTGACTATCCGTTTTTGTTATTGTATTTGGATCATGTGAACGACTATTTAGTTTACCTCAAATTGTGAATTCATCTTTCAAATTTTATATTCAATTTTGATCTTTGACTGCTTCATTATAATGGTAATTTGTTGGTTGTGTGGATAATCCAGAACCTGTGAATGAAAATGGAGGGATGAGGGTGGTGACAGGAGTCGCAGGATAATGATAAGAAGATTCTAAGTTTGGGTTTAGGATTGACTCCTCTAGATTGCTTTGATGTGTCATTTATAATCAAAGAGAGGATGACAGAGGTACATCAAAGATTGCTAAACTTAGTTCTTCCTTTGAGGAACTTAGAGTGTGGATGGAGGAAGTTCCTAGTGAAATTTCCCATCTAGTATTGGCTGATGTTGAGCACGATTTTGAGTAATAAATTGTCTTGATATTTTCCCGTCAAAAAAAATAAATAGTATTTTTCATAAAGATTCTAAAATTTGTAAAACCATAAAAGTGATCAATCGGTAAAATGTAAAGAAAGATGGAAAATGAGAGAAGAGCAAGTGAGAAAGGGGGGCGGCTAATGAGAGCGAGTGTTAAAAAGCAATAAGTTAATGATTATTATAAGTTGGAAGATTAAGAGTATGAAAATGAAGAAAGGTGTCATCTAACAGTCAAATAACAACAAATTAAACATAAATATCAATATACATTTACATTATAAGTCAAGTGTTACACTATAATATCAATTTTGTAGTGATTATGTTGGGGGGCGCGTGCACCAACAACTAGTATATAAAAATATGACAATATTTTGTTTGGGTAGTGAATGGAAATAGATGGGGAATAAATAACAAAAATACAAAATTACCCTTACTAATCTTTCTCCTCCATTCTTTTCATTAATGCCAAAAATGTCATTTTTCACTTATTCCCATTTCCATTCATTTATTACCTATCCTCCTTAGGTAATAAATTAATAGGAATTCACCCCATTTATTCTCAATCCCATTCCCTTCTTTATTTTCAATCCCATTTTACAAACAAGATATTTTTTTTTATTTGGGATTAAAAGTCCCATTTCCAGTTTTCCACCCTCAATTCCCATTTACCAAACACCCCCTTGTTGGTATGATCAGAAAGTGGGATAAGAGTTCTCGCCTTCTCAGATTCTCTCCTCCTTTGCCCAACTCCAAACTAACGATAGTGATAAAAAAAAAAAAATAAAAAAAAAAAAAAAAAAAAAAAAAAAAAAAACAAACTATGATTGGTTGTAGGCTGTAACTTCTGGTTACCTAAGGACGTAACAAGTCTAACGACTGACTGGCCCAGTACCAGAGAATGACAAAATACCCACGCTTCTTTAGTGTGGAATGACGATTATAGGCCCGGATAGACATACTAGATTAAGATAGCATATTAGCATTATTATTATCATCACAAGTCTTTTACCCGAGCAGCGCTCGGATATTTACTGTTTTTTTTTTTTTTATAAATTATTCTAAATTTTATATTTGTTTATAGATTTTGTATACAAATATTACGTAATTATTTCAGGGGATTGTTAAACGGCGCCCTTATTTTACCTGGTAACGCCCGCATTTAAATATAAATGGACAAATATACTCTCGTGTACTCCATATTTTTCTTCTCTGGCCTCTAACTCAATCGTGCATTCTCTCCTCCCAACAAACCACCACCAATCGAGGGCAAGGTCATCGGACACATCGCCGGAATTAAAGTCGTTTTTTTTTTTTTTTTTGTGGAAGCCAAACGCCTAAATTTTTCAAAACTCTAGGGGAGAAACGCCTAGAATTTTCAAAAGTCCTTAGGAGATTCGAAAATTCTAGGCGTTGCCACCCATAGAATTTTTCATTTTTTTTGCGTTTTTTTGTTTTTATCATAACTTTTGATCCATAACTCAAATTAAGACAAATAATATATCGTTGGAAAGCTCTACAAGTCTATTTTCTAACCCAATTAGAATCATATCAATATCATTTTTAGATCTTAAGATATGGCTACAATACTAAGTTTGGTCCAAAACCAACACCCTTGCACTATTTCAATCATATCTTAAAATCTAGAAATGATATTAACTTGATTCGAATTGGGTTGAAAAGTAGACTTCTAGAGCTTTTCAACGATATATTATTTGTTTTAATCCAAGTTTGGGATCAAAAGTTATGATAAAAACAAAAAACGAAAAAAAATTGGAAAATTCTACGGGATAAAACGCCTAGAATTTTCGAATCTCCTAGGGACATTTGAAAATTCTAGGCGTTTCTCCCCTAGAGTTTTGAAAAAATTAGGCGTTTGGCCTTCACAAAAAAAAAACGAATTTAATTCCGGCGATGTGTCCAATGGCCTTGCCCTCGGTCGATGGTGGTTTGTTGGGAGAAGAGAATGTTAGATTGGGTTATAACATTGAATACACGCGAGGGTATGTTTGTCCATTCATATTTAAATGTGGGCGTTATCTAGTAAAATAAGATCATCGTTTAGCTTGTCACAGAGTGCATAATAATTAAAAATAGTTTTTTTTAATAATATAAGAGATATCGTGGGAAAATTTTCTTTATTTTACAACTAATACTAGAATAACTTTTAAATATTTAAGGGAAAAGAAGGCAACATCGGGCAATGGATTCAAGAGGCATAAAGCACTTTATCATGTAATATTGCTATATCATTAATCGAGAGGGGCGATTAATCTACCTTTAAAATGAGCAAACGCAATCCATTCTCATTGGCTTCTTTTAATTCTCAATAAAAAGAGGCATTTGGAGACTTACATAACTTGAACAGTTGAACTTAATAATGAGTTAATTTTGTTTGCCCTTCTTGTGAGAAGCTTGACTTGCATACGGGAACTCAATTAAGCAATTTTATCCATTTTGTGGGAAGTTGATCACTTGATCATCGAAAGTACTATGTATCTATTAAACAAATTTTACTTTCCGAGTATTTTACATGTCACCCAAACAAGCAGTAATGTTGGAGCATCATAACATGAATGAAAGACTCCAATCTCAAGAATAAAATAATTCTAAATTTCTAATGGATCCTGTAAAAAAAAAAAAAAAAAAAAACTAAAATTAATGGGTGGGTTAAAGATTACAGTAGAAAACTAGTGAATCCAACGACAAAATTGTCAGTTTGATTACTCTAATAGTGCTTAAAATTTCTTGTAAATCTATGGGAACCAAGTTTAATGAAGTGTTCCTCTTCGTAAATCTCCAAATAATGCAACAAGCTCTTCAAAATTATGCATCAGTGAGAGAATGACAAGGAGAGACCACTGCAAGACATAATGTAGGGTGACAAATTTCATCTATTTAATTCCAGTATAGCTAAAATTACAGTGAAAAAATTGCATCTTCTGAGACAAAAATTACATAATCTCACAAAGCTTAGCTTCGCCATATCTACCCTAAAAACCTCTCTCACAATTCTAGATGAAGCAATTTTCTCGTATTTGGGACCTATGGGATTCATCGAATGAACAGAAATCCCCTTTCCAAGTTTGTGACAGCATTAGAGTCGGCACAATACAAACATGTTTCTGAGACATGCTGCATAAATTAGTCGCATTTGATGTTTTTGTAGATCCTTCGTACAAAAAGGTTGGAGCCCAGGAATCCTACAGCCCCTGATATCAAATATAGTAAAAAAAAAAAAATTAATTTCACAAGAAAATAGCACAACACCTCAAATTCAAGCTAGAAGCATTCCAGTGGAATTTAATGACCATCAGTCTCAGAGACCCTGCCCTGCCGTGGTAGGAACCTGAGAGCCTATTATGTACACCCGGGTGTACCGTACACCCAAGGTCATTTATGCTCATTTAGTCAACAAAAGAGTAAAAATTATTTGCTCATTTTGTTTATTAAATGAGCAAATAACTCCGGGTGTACTATGGGTGTATATAACAAATTCAACAAGAGCCTTTATAAAAGCATAAAAAGTGATAAATGAGAATAACAATGTATGATTATCAAACAAAACATGTATTTCACAAGTAGAATCCCATGATACATGAGGATCTCCAGGAATTGAGCAAGGAGATGAATCAACAGAGAAGTCTTTTTAAAGATACTTACCACAAAGAATTCCTAGCCCAAGGCAGAACATCAAAGTGTAACCAAAATAAAAGCTGATCTGGAAGAAACCCGTCATCTTGGTCTTCACGTGATAGTAATAAACTGCATATAGGTAGACATAGATGGCGGTAGACGCAGCAGAAAAGAATGAAGTCCATTGCCAATGGTAGTTTTCAGCATTCAACAAGAAATAAGTTCCCACAATCGTCACACAGACAGTCACAATGATGAGAATCAGAAATACAAGGAGCATGAAACCATAAACATAGTACACCTGAAAGTGTAAAACATAAATAATAAAAATAAAGTAAAATAAAAAGAAGCATGATCAGCTGGACAAAAGTACAGGAGCAATTATCAAGACAAATAGCTGCTGAAAAGAATGGAGCACCTTGTAATTCCAAAAGGATGTGAAAACAAAATACATCTCAATGAAGATGCTCCCAAACGGAAGCAATCCACCCATGAGAGATATCACTGAAGGAGTCAGATACCATTTCTTCTCAGGGATAGGTCGAGGGATAGTCTTAACCCGACATGGATTGTTTGGAGATCCACTCCAGTTTCTTCCAACAACGGTGCCAAGGAGTGCAAGGGGGAAGGAGATGAAAGCCCAAATAACAAAAACTACAACCATAGTTCCGAAGGGAATAGCAGCCAGCGAACCATAGAATATAGCAATAGTGTTCAAGATGAACCCAATCCCAAAGCACAAAAATGGGAATAGGGAAGCTGTCAAAATCATCGTCTTGATCCAACTTTTGCCTGAAAATTCAGAGAATATATCCATCATCATTTTTTAAAAACAATTAGCATTAAAAACTGAAAATGATAGGTAGGTTGATAGTAGATTAAGTTACAAGAGAATTATCACTTACCACCATTACGAGAGTACATTCCACCACTCACATACCCTGATATAAATGATGTCAAGGCATAACAAACAATGAATGTTGTGACAATGGCTCCCCTCCTGAAACAAAGATAATAATACTGATTTTAGAAAGTAATGTGACTAGATGTAGTGATATAAAAGTCTTGTACACAATAACAGAGTACAAATGTCAACACTTTTGATGTAAAGCAATAGAAGAATAAGTCATTCAAATTATTAATCTAGTGGTGCAGAACAGATGATATAGAGATTCTTGCAATTATATAATTCAAGCTAAAGATGACTCTGATTATCAAGTATCTCATACATACCCTATATACAGCATTCCAATAATTGCCAAATTGATGACAAGGAGAACCAGAGTTGCCAGCTGGGCGCCATTACCAACAACAGCTGAAAGCAGAGCTAAGTTGCGAGGAGAACGGAAAACATCTCCATGAATAAGTTTCCAACCAGACTCTTCACTAACATCCCTTTCCTGATCATACAAATCCAAGTTCAGCTAAGATATACTTCCTCCGTTTCTTTTTAGTTGGCACGTTTCTTTAGTCACGTTTGCCAATGCACAAATTCAACTATTAATATCTTTAATTATCGATAAGCAAAAATTATAAAAAGTTGATATTTTGAAAATATATATCGTGACGAATCTAACAAGATCTCACATGACTATATTTTTCATTACGTATAAAGCACAAAACACGGTCAAAGAGGAGTGTGTGAATAGTAAGTCAAAACGTGTCAACTAATAAAAAACGGAGGTAGTATAATATAGTGCAGGCAAATGATAGAATGAACAAGAAAAGAGTCTCACCAAAGTTTCCAAGTCATCATCCTCCCTAGCATACTTCGCATAATCATTTCTAAGAGTACGCATCAATATCATAGATACCAACCCAGTCAAGAAGATAACCATCATGAACGAATTGAAAATGGAGAACCAATGGATCTGCAAAGATATTAGTTAGATAAGACCACTATCCTTAATATGAACATAAGATTACAAGATACTTCTTTTAAACCGAAGAGAGCATCTAACTAGTTGCAAAAGGTATTAAAAAATTAAACATTTAGAACCTCAACCACATGCCACATGAAACTAAGAAAGAATCCCAAAACAACAAAGGCAGGACTCTTCAATTCAGCAAGCTAATAGTAAAAACTAAAAAGCATAATCAAACTTCAGTTAGATTAGGTGTGCAAACCTGGTGCTCAAAGAAGGGATAATCCAGGTATACATCAAAACGCTTGGCAAAGGTAACATTTGTAGGAATCCATTTGACAGTGTATGTCATGTCATAGACCTTCCCCTCTTCCACTGGCTTGGCACCGTCCTGAGTGAGATTAACATGAATGATCTACAAAATAGCATATTCATAAGTTATTTATAAATGGTAAAATAAAGTCTAAACAGGAAAGTCGTAGAGCTGAGATACAAAGGGTAAGTAGAGTCACCTGATTGCCATTATATTTAATGACGAAGTTTTTGTTTGTATACAGAACATGTTTAGCATTCTCAGTGTTTTTATCAAAATGCAATTCTCCCACAAAACCTGTGTCGCAGTAATAGAAGTTAGAGAAATGAAACAGGAATTAAATTTCACATTAATACTGAGTAGCCAGGGAAGGGCAAGTGCGTACCCCATAGTGGTAAATCATCTGAAGTTAGTTGAGCAGCCAGGATGGTTAGATGGAAAACAAAAAATCAGTCAAGTAATCAAAAGCCAAAATTGGTGCATCAATGAGAAACAAGGGAAACATATTTTAAATATATACTGCTCCAATATTGCTTGACATCTGAGTGTCACTAGTAAATGAAATAAAGTGAGGAGATTTCGAGGGTATCATAAATATATCACATACCGATAAAGAATTCAAACCAGTATGAATTTTC